GCAGTGTATGAAGTGTTCGAAAGGATGGCGTATTACGGGATATCGACGAATCTAATAATATTCTTGACGAAGAAGCTGCATCAAGGCACAGTTGCATCGGCTAACAATGTCACCAATTGGTCTGGTACTGTCTGGATTATGCCTATTTTGGGGGCTTACATCGCCGACGCTCATCTCGGCCGCTACCGAACCTTCCTCATCGCCTCTGCCATCTGCCTTACAGTATGTTATTTCCTAACTCACCTCAAAGTAAAACTTCTCGTCAATTTTTAGGATTGTTGGGACTGAGATCCACCTTAGCTAATTAAAGAAATGATCCTAAATTTATAAATAAGAAATATTGAAGAAGCTTAAAGTAAACAATATTGTAACATTATGGAAGTTTGTAGTTCCTAACCGTCTTTTTTAGTCTAGTGATGTCTATCAATGTCTTGGACGACTGAATTATTTTATCCATTATGAATTCACAGGGAATGGGACTTCTAACGCTAGCAGTGTCATTACCGAGCCTAAAACCACCGCCATGTTTGGATGTCAACAAAGGAAACTGTAAGCCAGCCTCTACGTTACAGCTCGCCGTGTTCTTCGGTGCACTCTACATGCTAGCACTTGGCACCGGAGGGACGAAACCGAACATATCAACGATCGGAGCCGACCAGTTCGACGAGTTCCATCCAAAAGAGAAGGCGCAGAAGCTGTCCTTCTTCAACTGGTGGATGTTCAGCATCTTCTTTGGCACTCTGTTTGCCACCACCATTCTGGTTTACATTCAAGACAATGTGGGGTGGAGCTTGGGTTATGGCCTTCCCACTATTGGGCTTGCCATTTCCATTCTCATATTTGTTGCTGGGACACCCTTTTACAGGCACAAGCTCCCCACTGGCAGCCCCTTCACAAAAATGGCTAGTGTCATTGTTGCTGCTGTTAGGAATTGGAGGCTCCCTCTTCCTAATGACCCAAAAGAACTCCATGAACTTGGCTTTGAAGAGTATGCCAAGCAAGGAGCTTTTAGGATTGATTCCACTCCATCCTTGAGGTCTGAATCTCTCACTCTCCCAACTAGGCTTATGTAACGGCTCAAGCCCATTGTTAACAAATATTGTCTTTTTTAGACTTTTCTTGACTTACCCTTAAGGTTTTTAAAATGCGTCTGTTAGGGAGATGTTTCAAGGATGTTACAAATGGTATAAAAATTGGACACCGGGCGATGTGCCAGCAAAAAGGCCGTTTACACACCCTTATTGAGGCGGTGTGCCAGTAAGGACGCTGGGACTCGAAGGGTGGATTTGATGGGGGTTTCAAATCGATTGGAGAAAGGAATGAGTGCCAGCGAGGACTCTGGACCCTGAAGGGAGGTGGATTGTGAGATCCTACATCGGTTGGGGAGGAGAACGAAACACCCTTTATAAGGGTGTGAAAACCTCTCCCGTACATACGCGTTTTAAAATTTTTTAGGGTAAGCGTGAAGGAGAAAGTCTAAAAATGACAATATGATAGCTCTAGACTTGGATAGTTCCAGCTTGATATGCATACGTGACCATTTATGCAATGATAAGCAGGTTTTTGAACAAGGCGGCTATAAGAAGAGGGTCAAGTGATTCATGGAAGCTGTGCACAGTGACCCAAGTGGAAGAGACAAAGCAGATGCTGAGAATGATCCCAGTTTTGATATGCACATTCATGCCAAGCACGATGTTGGCACAAACACACACCCTTTTCATCAAGCAAGGCACCACTCTCGATAGAAGCATTGGCAGCCACTTCCAAATCCCTCCTGCAAGTTTAGCTGCTTTTGTCACCATCTCCATGCTCCTCAGTGTTGTCATCTACGACAGGTACTTTGTTTAGTTTGTATACTTAAAATGGTTTAGAATGAGATCCTATGTCAGTTAGAGTGGAGAACGTAACATTTTTTATAAGGGTGTGAAAACATATTCTTAAGCTAACAACGATACGTAACGAATCAATGCGGACAATATTTGCTAGTAGTGGGTTTTGGCTATTATAAATGTGGTCTCAAAGCTAAACACCGGTCGGTATTCCAGCAAAGACGCTGGCCCAAGGGAGGTGGATTGTGAGATCCTACATCGATTGGAGAGGGGAACCAAACATTTTTGATAAGTGTGTGGAAACCTCATCGTAGTAGAAGTGTTTTAAAACTGTGAGGCTGACAACGATACGTAACGGGCCAAAATAGACAATATTTGCTAGCGGTGGATTTGGATAGATACAAATAGTATCAGAGCCAGACACCGAGTAATGTGCCAGCAAGGACACTGGTCCCAAAGGGGGTAGATTGTGAGATCCCACGTTAGTTGGAGAGGGGAACAAAACATTCCTTATAAGGGTGTGGTAGATGCGTTTTAAAATCGTGAGACTAACGGTAATACATAACAGGCAAAATTGACAAGTGGGTTTGTGCTTTTACAAATGATATTAGAGCCAGACACCGTATAGTGTGCCAACAAGAAGGACGTTAGGCCCCAAAAGGGGTGGATTGTGAGATCCCATATCGATTGGAGAGGAGTATGAAACATTTCTTGTAAGGGTGTGGAAATCTCTCCCCAATAGAAGAATTTTAAAACTGTGAAGCTGACGCCAATATGTACAAGCTAAAACGGACAATATATACTAGCAGTAGTCTTATGCTATTACATTACCTAATAATTCGAACCCTTTCACTTTTGACAGGTTGTTTGTGAAGATAATGCAGAGAATAACCAAAAATCCAAGAGGAATCACACTGCTACAAAGAATGGGAATTGGAATGATTCTCCATGTTTTAATAATGATAATCGCATCTCGTGTGGAAAGGCACAGACTTGATGTGGCTAGACAAAATGGGCAGGTGGGAAACGGCTCAGGACAAGCCCTCCCCTTAACCATCTTCACTCTGCTACCTCAGTTCATGCTTGTGGGAGTAGCAGATGCATTCACAGAGGTAGCAAAGATTGAGTTCTTCTATGATCAAGCACCAGAAAGCATGAAGAGCTTAGGCACTTCCTATTCAATGACTTCCATCGGAATTGGAAACTTCCTAAGCAGTTTCCTTCTCTCAACAGTGTCTAGCATTACACACAAACATGGCAATGGATGGATCATGAACAACCTCAATGCTTCTCATCTTGACTATTACTATGCGTTCTTGGCAGTTCTTAGTGCCATCAACTTCTTCCTTTTCCTGCTCATCTCCAAATTCTATGTCTACAAAGCTGAAGTTTCTGGCTCCATAAAAGCACTCGCGGACGAACTCAAGGACAAGAAATTGAAGCCATTCAGTGAAAAACACACTCACACTTAGTTACGTAAGATATAACTGAATCGAGTCATTCTACTCCCTACTAACCATCCTTATGTTTTTTTTTTCAATGGTTAGTTGTTAAATTTTTAATGGTGGTCAGTAGGAAGATACAAACGATCTAATTATGTATTTTCTTACATAATATACGAAATATATTTTCTGGGTCGATTCTCGTGTTGTCATTAGTAACCTCAAAACTCATTTTTTATTGGATTAATGTAACCCATGGTCAAATAATTTAAAATTAGATATAAAATTGAAATAATAATTTAAATACGTTTGCCATGACGAAGTTGGGAGATTCAGAATCTTCCAAATATTTGTAATGAAATAACAAAACTTAAATTTTATATATAATGTAAATAATTATTTGAATTTATGAGTATTTGCGTGAGAGGTTTATAAAGTTATTAAAATAAAAAAGGTCAAACATTAGGTGGAAATAAATTAATAGTCACCAATTTGACTAAATTTATTAAATGACATCACCAATAGTATACTTTCTTCAGGAGGAAAACAGATAATTATTGAATAATTTATATAAGCATGAATATTTGCATGTGGTGCATTAAATTATTCTTATAATTAATATATCAGTGTTTAATAGTGAATTAATTCTTTATTTTTATTAGGTTTTTGTCCAACGAGAATAAATGAATAAAGTAAATAAATAAATATTATAACGATTATATATTTTATATTAATATATTAGGTTTTTGCTTTAGGTCATTTTCTTAACGATTGGAAATAGGTTGAATCGAGTCCATCATAGTCTCTATTGATCGGGTTGTGACAGTTAAGCCCACCAAGTCCACCACTAATAGATACTGTCTATTTTGATTCCGTTAAAATGTTATCACCAGCCAGATTGAGGGATTTTAGAAATAAATTTAAGAAAATAATAGATTGACTGTGGTAATATACATACCCCTCCATCCTACTTAGTTTATCATCTCAACATCCTTAACCTCGACCATCTTGACTCAAGTCGAGTGAGGTTCTGGACTTATAGTCCTTTACTCTTCTTCCCAAAGCTCAGTTGGGTCTTGAATCTTTTCTTATGGGCTCGGGTGTGGGTGGAACTTGGGTACATTGTTCCGATCACGTTTAGTTGACTAAATATCTTCTCCCTATTATCTCTCATATTCTCAATCTCACGAGTTAAATAGACATCTCTAATAAAATAATATGATTTGGTTCGATTATTAAAAAAAATTAAATATTTTTATTTTACATTTCTTTTTATTTTTTTATTTTTGCGGTGGTTAGTGTATATAAAAAAAATATAAAAGGGGTGGTCCGATGTGGTCTCATATTTCAATAAACATATACAAATACTAACAAAAAGCTTCCACGCAGTTCCTCAAACCCATTAATGGCGGCGGCGGCAGCAGCAGAAGATCAAGAGAGCGGCCTCGACGACTACACGAAAGACGGAACCGTCGATCGGAAAGGCAGCCCAACTCTCCGGTCCAACACCGGTGGCTGGAAAGCGTGTTCCTTCATCGTTGGTATAAGCTGTTGGATGATGAAAGTCCCACATCGGTTAATTTAGGGAATGGTCATGGGTTTATAATCTAAGAATACACTCTCCATTGGTATGAGGCCTTTTGGGAAGCCCAAAGCAAAGCCATGAGAGCTTATGCTCAAAGTGGACAATATCATACCATTGTGGGGAGTCGTGTTCGTCTAACAATGGTCACCTGAAGGATGGAGTGAAATCAATCTTTGAGTACTGTTGAACCTCAAGCTCATATAGTTGATTTGGGTCATTAGGAAGAGGAACCCTCCAATTCCTCGCAGCAGCAACAATGACACGAGCCATTCTAATGAAGGGGCTTCCTCCACTGGGGAGCCGATGGCGATAAAAGGGGGTGCCGGCAACAAATATGAGAATGGCAACTCCGAGGCCGATGGTGGGAATGCCATAGCCGAAGCTCCACCCGACATTGTCCTGAATGTAAACCAGAATGGTGGAGGCAAAGAGAATGCCGGAGAAGACACTGAACATCCACCAGTTGAAGAAGGAGAGCTTTTGGGACTTCTCTTTTGGATGAAAATCGTCGAATTGGTCGGCGCCCATTGTCGAGATGTTGGGTTTGGTGCCGCCGGTGGCCACTGCCAACATGTAGAGCGAGCCGAAGAACACTGCCAGCTGTAATTTGGAGGCTTGTTGGCAGTTTTCTTTACTGGGTTCTAAACATGGCGGCGGTTGTAGGCTTGGCACTGACACTGCTACCGTTAGAAGAGACATTGCCTGTGGAATGTAACAAATTTCTCAAATCAACGCATACCAGTTCCAACCACTCAAATCTGCCGTCAGATAATTGTCTTGTTTTTTCTTTCGAATTATTTTTAAAACGTGTCTATGAACGTGGGGAGGATTTCCACAATGTTGTGAAAAATGTTTTGTTTTCTTACTCATCGATACGAGATCTCACAGTCAACTCTCTCTAGCGCCCAACATCCTCTCACCAATCGATGCTATTCTCATCTTCAATCGGCTTCATTTCTGTTCGTGGATTGAAATTTTTTTGGTTGGATTAATCCGATCAACCTGAACTAGTTCATAATCTAATCTAACTTTAGATTACTTTAAAAATTGTTATAAAAAATCAAGAATACTTGATATTTGTAACATATGTTATCCATGCACTTGATAAATGTTAAATATTCAAATTTTATAAGATTTTAGTTATTAATGTGATGTGTATTGACTTCAAAAAAAAAAAATGAACAACGTTCAACTCAGTTCTATAACTCGAGTAGAGTTGAGTTTGTGAACCTTATTTGGGTCACTCAGGTCGTTGTACAGATAAAAATCGAGATGAAATAAATACTAAACTCAAAATAATTAATATATATATATATTCCTTTTAAAAAATAGTATTAATAAGAAAAATATTAATATTTAAAACTCAATTAATTGGAACCATACCATAAAGGAGGCGAGGGAGGAGATGAAGAAGGTCCGGTAGCAGCCGAGATGAGCGTCGTGTTGAAATATCATCACTAGCCCAATAGAGTCAAGCCCAATAATTGTACTAGCCCAATAGAGTCAAGCCTAATTGTACGAGCCCAGTATATTTATTTTAGTAGAGATTTTAGGAGAAAGAGATGTAGATATTTTAGGAGAAAGATTCAATTTGTTAGGTCTAGATTCAAATCGGTTAGGTCTAGATTTAGATTGGTTAAATATAGATTGTTTACTCTTAGTATAAATACCCCCACCCTACCTAGGTTATTCATCTAAGAAATCTAAAAACAATAAAAAGCAGAAGTATTCTACAGAGTGTCTTGTATTCTCTTCTCGATTGGTCTTAATAAAGAGAGCGAGTGTTTCCCACAGTGAGTTGTGTTCAACATTTGGTATCAGAGCGAGGTTAGTGTAGGTTATCTGATCTCTTGGAATCCTTAGTATGCTCTGTGGTTGCAGCTCTGCCTGATCTTCCACATCAGAAACGATTTCTTGAGATTAGTGGTGAGTGAGTTTCTTTTGTGTCGTGAGAAGTCTGTGACTCTGCAAGTCTTGTGTCAAAAGAACTTGTTTGGTATTACTGAGGTATGGCCAACACGATGAGTGATTTCCAAATCGTTGGAGGAATTAAGAAACTCAACAACAACAACTACAACACGTGGGCAACATGCATGATGTCCTATTTACAAGGACAGGATCTTTGGGAGATCGTTGGCGGGTGTGAAACTACGCCGCCAGAGGAGGATTCTAACGACGCCTTGCGCAAATGGAGAATCAAAGCAGGCAAAGCAATGTTTGCCTTGAAGACCACCATCGGAGAAGAGATGTTAGAACATATTTGGGATGACAAGACACCGAAAGAAGCATGGGACACATTCGTGATGTTGTTCTCAAAGAAGAATGATACGAGACTACAACTTCTGGAGAATGAGTTGTTGTCAATTTCACAACGTGATATGACGATTGCTCAGTACTTCCACAAGGTCAAATCGATCTGTCGGGAGATTACTGAACTAGACCCAAAGTCCGCCATTGTAGAATCTCGAATGAAGAGGATTATAATCCACGGATTGCGACCAGAATATCGAAGCTTCATTGCTGCTGTACAAGGATGGCCCACTCAACCATCACTGGTAGAGTTCGAAAATTTGTTAGCCAGCCAAGAAGCCATGGCTAAACAAATGGGAGGCTTCACGTTGAAGGGTGAAGAAGCACTCTACACGAGTGAAAGTCAGAGCAATAATAGGCCGTCTACCAGACGTGGATACAATGGTGACAAAAGAAGAAGCCACCAAGGGATTGCACAACCTGAGAGAGCTCAGAAGAACGACAACAAGAGTTTTCAAAGAACGAGATTTGGTGGTATTTGCTATAACTGCGGGAAAAAGGGCCATATGTCTAGAGATTGTTGGTCCAGGAAAAAGACCATTGAAAACAATGTGGCAATATCCAAAAAGAAGATAGAAGATGAATGGGATGCAGAGGTACTATGTCCCATAGAAGAAGACGAGCTAGCACTCATGGCGACAATGGAAGACCATATCAACTATGAGAATGACTGGATCGTTGATTCAGGATGTTCAAATCACATGACTGGCGATCAGAGAAAATTGCAAGACAAGAAAGAGTACAAAGGAAGTCGTATGGTACGTACAGCAAATAACACACAGTTATCAATTGCTCAAATCGGCAATACGACAATCATGCCTGGCAATAAGTCTGATACAGTGTCGCTACATAATGTTTATCATGTACCGGGTATAAAGAAGAACTTGTTGTCAGTGTCACAACTAACAACATCAGGAAGCTATGTCTTGTTTGGGCCAGAAGATGTAAAAGTTTATCAAGATGTTAAGATAATAGGAAAGCCGACGATAGAAGGACGAAGAGTGGAGTCTGTCTACGTTCTATCTGCAGAGTCTGCCTATGTTGACAAGACCCGAAAGAATGAGACGACAGATCTATGGCATGCAAGATTGGGACATATTAGCTACCATAAGTTGAAGCTGATTATGGAGAAATCTATGCTCAAAGGTCTACCACAACTGGAAGTCAAAACAGACGTTGTCTGCGCTGGATGTCAGTATGGTAAAGCTCATCAATTACCATACAAAGAGTCAAGTTTCAAAGCAAAGAAACCATTAGAGTTAGTTCACTCTGATTTGTTCGGCCCAGTCAAACAAGCATCGATCAGCGGAATGCGGTATATGGTGACATTTATTGACGACTACTCAAGATATGTGTGGATTTTCTTTATGAAAGAAAAGTCTGACACGTTCTCAAAGTTTCAAGAATTCAAGATGATGGTCGAAGGAGAAGTAGGAGCGAAGATTCGTTGTCTACGTTCAGACAATGGCGGAGAATACACGTCAGATGAGTTCGATCAATATTTACACGAGTGTGGGATACGACGTCAATTTACATGTGCCAACACGCCACAACAAAATGGTGTAGCAGAAAGAAAGAATCGACACCTTGCAGAAACCTGTCGAAGCATGTTACACGCAAAGAACGTTCCAGGAAGATTTTGGGCTGAAGCTATGCGAACTGCTGCCCATGTGATCAACAAGCTTCCTCAACCAAAGCTAGGGTTCGTCTCACCATTTGAGATACTATGGGATATGAAACCTACAATTAGTTACTTCCGAGTATTTGGCTGTGTTTGCTATGTATTTGTGCCTGACCATCTACGTAGCAAGTTTGACAAGAAAGCAGTCAAGTGTGTATTTGTTGGATACGACAATCAAAGAAAAGGATGGAGGTGCTGTGATCCAACAAGTGGAAAATACTATACATCAAGAGATGTAGTTTTTGATGAAGCATCTACATGGTGGTCCTCGGAGAAGAAAGTCTTATCAGATTCAAACATTGAAGAAATTCTACAACAGAAGCTGGGGGAGCAAACTACACAAATTCAATCAAATTTCGATGCATCTGAAAATCCAAGCGACATTGATATTGACAAGCAGGAGGTGACTCAATCAAGCGAATCTGATAAAAATGAAACAACACATCAACAACTTAGGCGATCAAATAGAATCCGAAGGCCAAATCCTAAGTATGCAAATGCAGCTATTGTAGAAGATAGAGTTTACGAACCAGAGACATATGAAGAAGCATCACAAAACTCGGTTTGGCAGAAAGCGATGGAGGAAGAAATTATAGCCTTGGAGCATAATCAAACTTGGGAACTAGTGCCAAGACTAGGAGATATCAAACCCGTCTCTTGCAAGTGGGTCTATAAAATAAAGCGTCGACCGGATGGATCAATCGAGAGATACAAGGCTCGACTCGTGGCTCGAGGATTTTCTCAACAATATGGACTAGATTATGATGAAACATTCAGTCCAGTGGCAAAGATTACTACCGTACGAGTTCTGCTAGCACTCGCAGCAAGTAAAGATTGGAAACTGTGGCAAATGGATGTGAAGAATGCCTTCTTGCACGGAGAGCTAGACAGGGAGATTTATATGAACCAACCAAAGGGATTTGAGAGTGCAGCTAATCCTAATTATGTATGCAAGCTTAGAAAAGCTCTTTATGGACTGAAACAAGCACCGAGAGCTTGGTATGGTAAGATTGCTGAATTTCTTACCCAAAGTGGTTATTCAGTTGCGCATGCAGACTCAAGCCTATTCATCAAAGAAAGAGAAGGAAATTTGACAATTGTGTTGGTCTACGTGGACGATTTGATTATCACCGGGGACGATGAAAGAGAAATTTATCAAACAAGAGAAAATTTATCAATACGCTTTCAGATGAAAGAGCTAGGAGAGCTTAAACACTTCTTAGGCCTAGAAGTTGATCGCACAGATGAAGGACTGTTTCTCTGCCAACAAAAGTATACCAGAGACATGCTTCAGAAGTTCAACATGTTAGAGTGCAAGCAAGTTTCAACACCGATGGAGATAAATGCCAAGATTTGTGCACATGAAGGCAAAGAGTTGAACGATGAAACAACGTACCGACAACTAGTAGGTAGTCTTATCTACCTAACTTTAACTCGACCTGATATCTCGTATGCAGTTGGGGTTATGAGTCGATACATGCAAAGTCCAAAGAAGCCTCATCTGGATGCAGCTCGACGGATCTTGAGATATATCAAAGGTACAATCGACTATGGTCTTTTGTACAAAAGAAGCAAAGACTGCAAGCTAGTTGGATACTGTGATGCTGACTATGCAGGAGACCACGATACTCGGAGGTCAACCACTGGGTATGTGTTCAAGTTTGGTTCGGGAACAATTTCTTGGTGTAGCAAGAGACAACCAACAGTATCATTATCAACTACAGAAGCAGAGTATAGAGCAGCGGCTGGAGCAGCCCAGGAAAGTACATGGCTAAAACTCTTGATGGAAGATTTGCACCAGAAAATTGACTATCCAATATCACTTCTTTGCGACAACCAATCTGCGATTCGCCTTGCAGAAAATCCAGTGTTTCATGCTAGAACAAAGCATGTGGAGGTGCACTACCATTTCATTAGAGAGAAGGTCCTAAAGGAAGAAATTGAGATGCAGCAGATCAAGACAGATGACCAAGTGGCAGACTTGTTTACAAAAGGGTTGAATACTAGCAAACATGAGAGCTTTCGCTGTCAGCTCAACATGATGCAGCGAATGAGGACTAGTGCTGAGGGGGAGTGTTGAAATATCATCACTAGCCCAATAGAGTCAAGCCCAATAATTGTACTAGCCCAATAGAGTCAAGCCTAATTGTACGAGCCCAGTATATTTATTTTAGTAGAGATTTTAGGAGAAAGAGATGTAGATATTTTAGGAGAAAGATTCAATTTGTTAGGTCTAGATTCAAATCGGTTAGGTCTAGATTTAGATTGGTTAAATATAGATTGTTTACTCTTAGTATAAATACCCCCACCCTACCTAGGTTATTCATCTAAGAAATCTAAAAACAATAAAAAGCAGAAGTATTCTACAGAGTGTCTTGTATTCTCTTCTCGATTGGTCTTAATAAAGAGAGCGAGTGTTTCCCACAGTGAGTTGTGTTCAACACGTCGGCGACGTAAGCCCCGAAGATCGGCGTAATCCAAACTGTTCCAGTCCAATTGGTGACATTGTTAGAGGCAGTGACAGTGCCTTGATTCAGCTTGGTGGTCAAATATATAATCAGATTGGCGGCGATCCCATTGAACATCATCCTATCAATCAGTTCGTACACTGTAAATCCAACATACACACTTTCTCAGGTCAACGGCGGTGCCGGAAATTGACAGATTTTAAGGTTTTAAGAAGGCTTATGTTAGACGAACACGACTCTCCACAATGGTATGATATTGTCCACTTTGAGCATAAGCTCTCATGGCTTTGCTTTGGGCTTCCCAAAAGGCCTCATACCAATGGAGAGTGTATTCTTAGATTATAAACCCATGACCATTCCCTAAATTAACCGATGTGGGACTTTCATCATCCAACACCTCCCCTCGAACAAAGCACGCCTCCCCTTAATCGAGGCTCGACTCCTTTGGAGTCTTAGTCATTTTTGACTGCCTTCATACCTTCGAGGAGGCTTGACTCCTTTTGGAGTCCTTTGTTCGACATTTAAGGATTTGTCAATCTATTGACACGGCTAAGTTTAGGGCATGGTATCCAGTTGTTGGTGACAACAGAAAACTGAATTGAGATTGAGAGGAGGAGTGATTTGAGTGATGGGGAGGGAGGTCCTTTTATAGGGGGATTCCCGGAATTGGTTGAGATTTTTGTGGAGATTTGTGGATGATTTTGTGGATGAATTTGAATTCACCTCCTCCTTCTCTTCCGTAACTAATTCAAATTCTATTATTAGCTATTATTAGTTTCAACACCCTCCCTTAAACTGAATTCTGCGGAAATCAGTTTAGGACTTCATTTCATCTCCTTGATATACATCTTGGATTCTGCATATCCCCATCTTTCTTCTGAGCTTCTCGAACAATGGTTGTTTCAAGGGCTTTGTGAATAGGTCTGCGATTTGTTCATCACTTCGGCAAAAGTTGAGTTCAATAATGCCTTCTTTACACAAATCACGCAAGAAATGAAATCGAACATCGATGTGCTTGCTCCTTCCATGCAACACAGGATTTTTAGACAACTTAATAGTTGACATATTATCACAATATATAATCGTCGTACTTGGTTGCTTCTGATTAAGAATTTCAAGCATTTTTCTTAACCAAATTGCTTGGCACGAGCATGCTGCTGCTGCCACAAATTCTGCTTCTGTCGTTGAGAGTGTTACAATAGGTTGCTTCTTTGAAGACCAGCAAATAGCTCCTGAACTCATCAAGAAAATACTTCCTGAAGTACTTTTACGATCGTCTATATCACCTGCATAGTCGCTATCTGTATAGCCAACTATCTTCGGATCATCTCCTTTTTTGTAGAACACCCCCAAATCAGAGGTTCCTCTCACATAACGAAGTATCCTTCTTGCTGCATTGAGATGTTTTTCCGTTGGATGCTCCATGTAACGACTTATCATACTAACCGCATACATGATGTCTGGTCTTGTTGAAGTTAGGTACATCAAACTTCCCACAATTTGTTTGAAGTACCTATTATCAACCTCTCGCCCGTCAATGTCCTTGTGCAACTTTAAACCCAATTCTGATGGAGTTCCAAATGTGCGCTCATCCAATTTAAATCTTTCAAGTAATTCTTGAGCATACTTCTTCTGACAGATAAAGTTACATGTGGGAGTTTGAGTAACTTCTACTCCAAGAAAATATCTCATCAAGCCAAGATCTGTCATTTCAAATTCCTTCATCATGCTCTTCTTACAAAATTCAAACATTCTTCATTATTGCCAGTAAATATTAAATCATCAACGTATAAGCAAATAATGATAATGTTACCTCCCTTTTCAGTTTTCACATACAACGTATGTTCATACGGGCATTTAGTGAATCCCATCTTTTCAAAATGAGAATCAATGCGACTGTACCATGCCCTCGGAGCTTGCTTCAAACCGTACAAAGCTTTCTTCAACTTGTATACTTGTTCCTCTTTGCCTTTTTGAACAAAACCTTCTGGTTGCTCCACATATACTTCCTCTTGAAGCTCTCCATGTAAGAAGGTTGATTTCACATCAAGTTGATAAATAGGCCAAAATTTCTGTGCTGCAATAGAAATTATGAGCCTGATAGTGTCTTGACGTGCCACTGGTGCAAATACCTCCTTATAATCAATTCCATACTTTTGCTTGTATCCTTTTGCAACAAGTCGCGCCTTGTACTTATCCACCTCACCGTTTTCATTCAACTTGGTTTTGAAAACCCATTTTACTCCGATTGTTTTCTGCCCTCTAGGAAGATCAGTGAGCTCCCAAGTCTTGTTCTTCTCTATGGATTTGATTTCACTGTCCATAATCCATCTCATAATCAATCATCCAGTTTGGTCTTTTTCTTGTTCTTGGATGTCTTTGATTATGATCATGATTTTCTTCTACTGGTTCTTCTTGTTGAGCTTGTGATGAGCTCTCTCCATGCTCATAGTGAGGCTGAATAGGAGCTTCAGTTTGTTCTTCGTCAAGATCTACAGGAATCTGCTGATTCACAGTGATCTTTTCTTCCCATGTCCAAGTCTTATTTTCGTCAAAGACTACATCACGACTCACCACCACCTTCTTTGTCAAAGGATCGTAGAGCTTGTATGCCTTAGAGGTCTCGCTTACTCCAAGGAACACACACTTCGAACTCTTGTTCTCAAGTTTCTTCCTTTTCTCATCAGGAACGTGTGCATATGCTATGCACCCAAAGATTCTAAAGTGGTCTACTGCAGGTTTTCTTCCGCTCCATGCTTCTTGTGGAGTCATAAATTTCACATTCATCATTTTGGAATGTGATCACATACCCTTGCCTTCAGATCAGGAATGTAGAATACATTAGAAATAGACTCTACAAAGCCATTTCTAGTCTTGATATCTACGGTTCCTTTCCCCATCACTTGGAGAGATGAATTGTTGCCAAGAGAGACCGTAGTATGAAAATTTTCATCTAAAGTTGAGAAGAATTTCTTACAACCTATCATATGATTGCTGCATCCAGAGTCTACGACCCATACACCTTGATCTGCAACCTTCATAGCATGGAATGACATTAATAATGTTTCTTCTTCTCTTCTCTCCACAAAATTGGATTGATTTCTTTTCTTCTTTTGGAGCCTGGAGCCTGGTATAACATTCATTTTTGTAATGTCCAAGGCGTCCACATCGGTAACATTCCACCTTAGACTTGTCAGAGTGTCTCTTGCCTTTGTTGTCATAATCGTTTCTGACTAGGTCTGCTGACCTGCCAACATCTCCACTTCTTTCTCGACTGCCTCTCTCACGACCTCTGCCTCTTCTTTGGCTCTTCATAACCTGTTTCCACCATATCAAAGAACTCCTTTGATTTGAGAAAATTTTCCATCAACATCGCCCAATGATCATAGTGACCGTCGAACCTCGGGATGGCGGATTGGCTCTGAGGGCTGGGCACGGGGGTCCCAGTCCCGAACCCGTCGGCTGTTGGTGGACTGCTCGAGCTACTCCCGCGGCGAGAGCGGGTCGGTGCGTGCCGGCCGGGGGACGGACTGGGAACGGCTCCTTCGGGGGCCTTCCCCGGGCGTCGAACAGTCAACCTTGCTCTGATACCATGTTAGACGAACACGACTCCCCACAATGGTATGATATTGTCCACTTTGAGCATAAGCTCTCATGACTTTGCTTTGGGCTTCCCAAAAGGCCTCACACCAATGGAGAGTGTATTCTTAGATTATAAACCCATGATCATTCCCTAAATTAACCGATGTGGGACTTTCATCATCCAACAACCATAACTATATTAAGAATTACTAAATCTTCAGATTATTTTGGAATTGTCCATTTTCAATATAAATTTTTATGGCTTTAATTTAATTTGGGATTTTTCAACCGGCCTCGGACCAATGGAGATATATTCTTTAAAGGGAGGATTTTCGCCCTAAACGAAAGATTGAATTTTTATATGTAGGTTTCTGAATAAGGCTGCTGTAAGAACAGGTTCAAGTCATCCATGGAGATCGTGCACAGTGACCCAAGTGGAAGAGACAAAGCAAATGCTGAGAATGATCCCAATTCTGATATGCACATTCATTCCAAGCACAATGGTGGCACAATCACACACCCTTTTCATCAAGCAAGGCACCACTCTTGATCGAACCATCGGCAGCAATTTCAAAGTCCCTCCTGCAAGTTTATATGCTTTTGTTACCATCTCCATGCTTCTCTCCATTGTCATCTACGACAGGTTTGCTTAGCTTTTTTGGAACTAAGCCAAAATAGTGATGAAAATGAGATCTGATCCTTAGTTAATGCATCTATTTTCATTCATGGGACACTGGACAGGATCTTTGTGAAGATAATGCAGAGAGTTACTAGAAACCCAAGAGGAATAACAATGCTACAAAGAATGGGAATTGGAATGATTTTCCATGTGTTGGTAATGACAGTGGCGTCTCGAGTCGAAAAGCGCCGACTTTACGTGGCTAGAGCAAATGGGTTGGTGAGAAATGGCTCAGGACAAGTACTTCCCTTGACCATTTTCACTCTCCTGCCTCAGTTCATGCTCACAGGAGTAGCAGATGCATTACTTCAAATAGCCAACGTTGAGTTCTTTTATGATCAAGCACCAAAAAGCATGAAGAGTTTAGGCAGTTCATACATGATGACTTCCCTTGGAATTGGGAACTTCCTCAGTAGCTTTGTTCTTTCAAAAAGTTTCTGAGATCACCAAAAGACATGGCGAAGGGTGGATTTTGAACAACTTGAATGCGTCTCATCTTGATTACTTCTATGCCTTACTTGCAGCTACGAGTGGTGTTAACTTCTTTGTGTTCTTGGGCATTTCCCAACTGTATGTGTACAGAGCTGAAGTGTCTGATGAACTCAACAAGAAGAATGAAGTGGGTTGAAAAATGAAGCCATCTGAGGAAGACTGAAGTGGGTTCGGTCAATTTCGATCGATTGACTCGACCGACACAATTCGAAGGAGTCGTGGTTAAGGAAGACAAGGTTTTGTTTTCTAGAAACATGTGTATTTAGTCATTGTTAATTAAACATGTAAGAAACATAGATGGTTTTGTTAACTGAGATATGAAACAGAAAGGAATGAGTTGATATCTTAAGAACTTTGGTATGTTAATAATATTTATGCAATGTGCCTCCCTCAATATCTCTCAAGCTTCATTTAAAGTTGGTATTATACACACACATACATACTCTGTGTTTGTGTTTGTCTCTGCTTTATTATACAAGAGAAGATTTGGTTCACCTTCTTTTTGCTAATTGGAATGTTTTCTTTAAGAATAGATTGGCAGCTCGATCATTCCGGTGGCATAAAACACGTAAGATGGTGTTTGGATCGGCTCGGTTCCAACGACCTGTGGTCGGAGGCATAGGTAGCTTTTGTCCAGAACCCATAACTCCTATTCCACTTGTTTCACAAGTCACAATGCTGAAATCTTCAACCAGTTGTTCAGTACCTTGGCTCATCAATGCTATTACTCCTCCGACAGCCTCGGCTTCTCGCTCGACGATATTCTCTTGAAGAAATCCCTCACCACAATCGCAGAATATCTTTTTCAAGTATCCAAAATCCTCGTCGATCATCTCGTGATCGGAACGATAGAACACTCTAGAGGACCCTCCAGCTAGAAGAACCATTAAAAATGCTTCAAAAGAGGCTCTCATCACTTCTTTCATTGCTAAGGCCTGAGCTCTATCAGTCACAATTGCACATAATAAGGTAAGGTTCTGTTTCAAAACTCGCAATCCTGGTTGAATCCGAGCATTCGCGACATCGTTTGTATATAAGGTATCATAAAACACAGAACTTGAATCAAGGAATATCAGACGAAAAGCAGCTACTTCTGATACATGTTGACAAGCTGATTCAATGCTTCTGTTGGAAAGTTCAAAGTAAGATGAGTTTCTGTATGATTTAGAACTGTTGAAACGGAGGCCTGTTGAAGCAGTGACTTTAGGAGAAAGGGAAAGAATTTTGTTGAGTGAATGTAGGTGGGACAACATATAATGCAATGTGTTTAGGCGAATGTATAGCCGTTGCGTTCCTCGGCTGGTCGACGCTCGCGTTTGATTACCTTCTTGAGAACCAAGATGATTCGTCGTTTCTTCTCCGACAACACTACAAGGAGTGGCTCTCTTCCACAGCTTGGCGAACTTCGAATCTCGGTTACACCGGGTTAGAGGAGGCAGTTGTGGGAGGTAACTCTGCTTTGAACCTGAAAAAACACAGCATTGTTTACCACTTCCAGCTTGTTCATTTGGGACAGACATATAAACAACAGTATGTGATTGTTACCACATGATGACACAAATGTGATATAGTCTTGGAAGCTATGCTCTAACCCAGCAGCAATCTCTCGAACCAATTCTTCAGTGACTCCGATGGGAATTTCAAAGAACTCCTCCACTGTTTCCTTAGCTAGCTTCATCAACTCCACAGCCGACTGCGCATACGGTTCTGTTTTCGACCTCGGGTTCCAAGTTTCTGATTCTTTTGATCTACTCAGACAGTCTCTTTGTTTCTTTAGCCTCTCATCAACCCATGATTTTAAGAGGTTCAATATAATGGAATCAACTTCAAAAGGAACCATTTCTCTCACAATTGCCTTCCCACCATCTTCACAGTCAGCTGAATCCTCAACCACCATTTGAACTAACACCTTCTCTAATCTTCCAGCCCGATGAAAAACACCGATCGTCTCGCTTGTCAACATCGTCACCCCGCCCAGATACTTCTTCAACATGCTTCCATAGCAGTTGTGTAATGTAACTGCTGCAACTCCTACTGCAGTTGGATGCCATTTCTTTAGTATGGGACTGAAGCATTCCCTCTCTTTTAATGCCAAATCCTCTGTTTCTTTGGCCAATTGAAGCAGAGCCTCGCTCCCCTCACCTTTAGCTTCCTTAATTTTCCCATTCTCAAGTACCTAAATTGCAATGAGATTGTGATAAAGGATTGAACAGATATGATGAATAAAGGTAATAAAGGATGGAATTTGAACCTTGCCGAACGCGTTTCGTACTGAACATCGGATGTAATAGTCGACACGATCACCGGATGAATCGACCACCAATACATCTCCCTGGTCTTGGCCTGCCCCTTCTGTGATGGTAACATCTTCACCTAAAATCTTTGATGCAGATAAGGCTAAGGGTAGAAGGTTTTCCACCTGACCAACTGTCCCCCTCTGGAAATAATCATGGTAATGAAGTAACCTCTTTTCGGCCCAAGTCTGCATCGAAGTCAATACCGATGTCAAAAGCTTTACGTACATCGCCTCTCGATCTGGCTTCTTGGCATCGTTCGCGACCTCGGCCAACATAGTATGAGCAGCACAAAGAAGGTCTGGTTCAAGCTGTGCCGTCACAACATACTGTTCGAATAACGCCCAAGCGAAACACACATTATGAATTGGCCTAGTGATTCCCAATGTCGACCACGTCTTCTTCATTAGCTCGAGAAGTTCATCCACCTCGTCAAGTACTGAGGTCTCGTCCCTGATGTCGAAGATGGTTTGAAGAAGAGAAACATAGATGTGAATGTTTAGAGGAAAGCCATCAGCCCAGTGACATACATCCGTTGGGGTCCCATTGACACTCCGCCAAGACAATGACACTACAGAATTGCATAGCGTTCTCATTGTGTCTGAGTTCTTCCCTGTGTCAATTGGCTTTGATTCACTCGCTCGAATGATCTCCCTAAGACGCATAGCGAATGTGTTTGATTTATCAAGTGGAATGGAAGGATGAAGAAGAAGCCCTGCCTCCAAGATCTTCAGCTGCCGTCTCTGCCAAAAATGATATTCATTTACATCAGTGAATTCCGATGGCTTTAGATGGCGTAGAAGCTCCAATGGAAGAATTATGGTCTCTGCTCGTCTTCCCACCTGTTCATACATATCCAAAATACACAATTACAACGCAAAAATTATAAATCCAAGATTAAAAATGGAAACAAAACAAGAAATTACTTGGCCTACAAGAGTCCTCATCAGAGTCTTCCTAAGCCGGTTATCACTCTGTTCTGTAACCTTCATCTGCTGTCTCATAATCTCCGCCGACGTCATTGGCCGACGGGGTCTCATCGACGGCAGAGTATTCGACAAACCAGGGCTAGCCCCACTATTACCATGAGAGCTGGGGGAGGGTGGATTCGAGCCACAGTTCCCGCCGGTTGACATTCTCCTGGACGGCGATCGCTTTAACATTTTCAACCCAAGTGCCCGTTTGATCCGACCGGTGGGTGTCATCACAACCCCTTTGGGTTTCGGACTCGAAGTGCCATCGCCATTGTCAAGATTAGAAGAGGAGTAAAATGCAAGAGCGTTCCGACCTCCAAAGCCCGGTGAGGAGCGACAAGCCGTGAAGAAGATCTCGTATGCAGTCGCACGGATGTCATCACGGTCGATTCCGTCGAGCTTGTTGAAGGGCCACACGAGATCGTTCTCATAAACGTCGACGTGGTAGTCCGGCCGGGCAACGGACATGTGCCCTGACAGGGACTCACGACGGACGTTGTGGCTGTGCCCCATTTCGGAGGACTGGAACGTTCTCAATTTTACTTCTTCCTCTGTTTTTTTTTTTTTTTTCTCACCCCTTCCTCCTCTTTGATATCCGGCGGGAGATAAGTGGAAGGATAAGCCGAAAATTTCTCTTAAAGCAGAGCCCTTTTAGGAGATTTGGTGGTGACAGGGGTTGGATGCTGACTCTGTTTTCTTGTTTTCTTTAGTTATATGACAGAGAACATCAACAGCAAGATGTGGCTGATCCAGCTTTGTTCATCACAATTATCCGAGAAACAAGGAGATAAACTCAAACAAGGAGATTGATTGATAAAGGGTTTTGCTAAAAATAGCCATAGGTTTCAGAATTCGATCTCTTTGATGTTCTGTTCGTCCCTGTCCTGTCTCTGTTTTTGTTTCTGAATTACTTCAACCGATCAATCCATCAAAACAGGACAGGGTAGATTGACCATCCATAAAATATGACCAAATATATTTCAGGCTACATATGTTGTTTTATTTTGTTCATAGTTGCTAATTGGCTGATATTTGTCTAATAGTCATGCCCATTTCATTCCTTAGGAAACTAATATTTATGTAAAGATTCAAACTCAATGCTAGCAGATATTGTCTGTATTGGCCTGTTATGTATCGCCGTTAACCTCACGGTATTAAAACGAGTCTACGGAGAGTGGTTTCCACACCCTTATAAGGATGTGGGATCTCACAATCCACCCCTTGGGGGCCTAGCATCCTCGTTGGCACACTGTCGGGTGTCTGACTTTGATCCCATTTGTGATGGTCCAAGCCCACTCACTGCTAGTAGATATTGTTCGCTTTAGCCCATTACGTATTGCGGTTAATCTCTGGGTTTTAAAATGCGTCTACTAGGGAGAGTGATTTCCACACCCTTATAAGGATGTGGGATCTCATAACCCACCCCTTGGGGGGCCTAGCGTCGTCACTGACCCATCACCCGGTGTCTGGTTTTAATACCATTTGTAAAGGTTCAAGCCCACTTCTAACAGATATTGTCAGCTTTAGGCCGTTACGTTTCACCGTCAATCTTCCGATTTTAAAACGCGTCTCTTAGGGAGAATGGTTTCCACACCCTTATAAGGTTGTAGGATCTCCCGATCCACTCCCTTTGGGGCCAGCATTCTCGTTAGCACACCACCGCCCAGTGTCTGACTCTGATACCATTTGTATCAATCCAAACTCACTGATATTATCCATTTTGACCGGTTACGTATCTCACATTAAACTTAAATTGAGCTTAGATTATGAGTCTCTTTGATCAGGACACTATATGCTCAAGCATGCAGCTTTAACTTGTTTCACCTGATGAGCCTTTTAATCATGGAAATGTGGAAAACATGATAAGCAGGTTCTTGAGTTTCTGGTTATATCACAACAGTACTGATAATTCGTGATGAAAAATGAAAACGGCGACAAAAACGTTCACGAAATCTCGAGATCGGGAGCGATAAACAACAGAGAAAAGGTAGAGAAGCTCTATGATTCATTAACAATGATAGATATAGAAGAAAAATTCCAAAGTGTTTGCATTACATGATACACCATTCTGCACTGTCAAAAGCTCAACTAATCTGTGATTTCATAATGTCAATATCAGCATCATCCATACACCATATCACCAGGAAGGTGATCTTACAAATTTGAAAAACAACTCCGACACATCGCAAGGCGTAACGAAACGAAATATTAATCAGTCGATCTTTGAACTCTTCTATCAGTCGTTGTAGTACCAAAGCAATCCGTTATACAGTCAGAAACATCGCCAATTATTATCAGTTTCGTCGTAAAGAAACGACATTGTTCTCGTCGTCATACACTAATATTTGATGTAATAATCTACATAATCATACAGCTGCAAGAATCAGACTCCTCGTCCCCGGAGTCGCTCACGTCGCTGCAGAACGAACAGACACAAAAACCAATCCAAATTTTACAAATCTAAAAACAAAGATATACTCAATCCACAGCATTATCCATTACATTCAAACACAGATTTCATCTACCTTAAAACATGTTCTTAACTTCAGTCTAAGATGAAAACAGCCAATGATGTCAAAATACAAAACATTCAAGCATCATATCTCTCAATTCAAGCCTGTTATAACTATCGGTCATTAGTGTTTTATCAATTGAGCTATGTTTAGATTCGCGTTCTTCGATCGAAGAACTAGAATAACCCAAAGAACAGATCAGGCAGCATTTTTGGTTCTAACCCAGATATGGAAACTTTCAGCTTCTTCAAACATCTCAAGTTCAAATATCAACAGAAATGTAAGAACAAGAACAAGAACAGAGAAACCATCTTCCCCAACTTACAGAAAACAGACCAAAAAAACCATCAAAATGCTCCAAGAAAAGGGGAAAACAATTAAGCTACCTCGGTTGGAACTCCAAAATCTCCGCTAGGTTATTACCATTGCTATCATTCCACCGGACTTTCATCCTCGGCTTATTCGATTTCCTCGACATTCCGCCGCGCCGCGGCGGCAATAGAGCATTCGATTCACTGTCATCTTCGCTGTTTCTATGATCGCCAACTTCTCCCGCCGCCGCAGAGTCTACAGACCTCTCATCGTAGCCATTAACAGCCCTAGAATCGCCGCCCATAGCCTCGAAACTCGCAGTATAAATCCAATCGGAAATTTGCCCTATAAACAACCCCATAAAACAGACCCAGATTTGGGATTTCTAAATCGAACCATCTCAGAAATCCACTTTTTGTAAAACCCCCAATATAATAAGAACACAATTCAGCGACTCGAAACTCAGATTCCGCAACTGGGTCAACGCTCACGGGTTCAAAATTTATGAGCCCAGCAACCCCAACAAAAAACCCGTCTCAAAAAGGTAAAACCCCCGATCTAAAACTTTAACCAAACAAAGCTACGAAGAACAGATAGAATTCCCAACAAAATTAAATCCCCTCCAAAACCCAAAAAGAAAAATTGAAGGAAAAAAAAAAGGGGGGGGAGGTTCCATATAACATAACGGAACCAAAATTTAACTCAAATCGTGACCTTCCGATGAAAGGGTGAGTTGTCCAGATCGCGAAAAAAAGCAATTAACTGAAACAGAGGGGAAGGCGTTTACTTGGGTGTGATTGGTGAACAGTGATGTCGAATAATGGCGTGGAATCGGACGGTCGGGATTGGATAGATAGGAGAAGGGAAGAGCCATCTGTGGGTCGCAGTGGCGGGTGTTCGTTAAATTCGTTGCTCATAAACTGTCGGTTACCACCGGATCTTGCCTTGCTTTTGTTCCATTGACGTTAATTTAACATTAATTCATGTCGTTAATATCCGGTTGTTTTTGGACCATAATTAGTAATTAAGTACTTCAGGCTTTTTATTTATAGCATCCATAGCATATATTATATAAATTTATGATATATGAGCATGTTGGTGCAAGAAGCTCGCTAATTTTGTTTGTAATTTAAATTAGTCAGCCTAAAATTTAAAGATTTCGAATAGAAATTATTAGTATTTCATTTCAAAAATACTTGAAAGTGGGCTCGACGAAGTGAAAAATAGTGTGTAAAGCGCCGACCCATTTCATACGGAAGAAATCAATTATTGCGTCCTCCTTTTACTTAGGCCCAGATCCAGAGGGGAACTTAAAAGGATCGTTGCTTTGAGGAATTTGCAATCTTACGCCTCTCAAAAACGATGGCATGAAATCGAAGCAACACCCACATCAAACTTGAAATGAGGGCTTGCAGATTAGCGGCAAATCAACTTCAATCAGCGCCACCAAACAAAGGGTTCATCAGGAAGTGGAGATCATCAAATGGGTAATTCCTAAATTTGCTTTATCGATAAGCCACTGAAAGAGATGGTATTGGTCTAATGGGTTGGTTGCTTCTATTGTTACCAAACTTTGAGTGGATATGGAGCTTAGAAATTACTCATAATATCATGATCTCAATCGAAAAGGAGTGGACATTTCTTACACTGAATATGTATTGGAGTCCTTTCTTCTCATTTACCATGAAAAATGAGGTAGAGAGGGCTGTTTGTGCTTGTGAGGATGGCTTGCTTTCAGAGAGCTTCACCAGCTTTGAAGGAGATCCTCCTTAAGCTCTACAGGTGAGAAACAAGTTCATGTGTTCTATGCTGAAAATCTTTGAAACCCATATATTCTTTCAGGTTTTAGGGATTAAATTGTATTGGTTATGATTACAGTTCGGAAAATCCGACAGAAATTGAGCATCACTTGCATGAATTTGGTTCTGTTCAGTACCATATCCAGGTACTGTTCTTCTCACTCATCTGGGACTGTTCACGTTTAAGATTTGAATTAGTGTCCTAATTGCTTTTTGATTGTTTGGTAGTCTTTCATATCGGATTCACTGCACGTTTACTTGTCGATTGCTACTCCATTGTTGTCACAAGGGGTTCTTTTATCTGATGGGCTCTCGCCATATACTCTCGAGATGGTAAAACAAATTTGCTCTCATGGTGTTGAGATCATTGAACCTGCAAAAGAAGGATACAAACTTACTCTAAGAATTGACTTTGCAAAAATTTTGCATGAGGAAGGTATGATTATCCACTTGAACAGCTTGATTAATTAGAAAACTAGTTTATGAAAAGATTTAGTGTCAATGTGGCATAGTTTATGTGAGATCATACATCAGATGGAGAGGGGAACGAAGCATTCCTTATAAGGGTGTGAGAACTTCTCCTTAGTAGATGCGTTTTAAAACTGTGAGGCTGATGGCGATATGTATCAGGCTGAAGTGGACAATATCTACTAACAATATGTTTGAGCTATTACAAATGTATCATAGCCAGATACCGGATGATGTGCCAGCAAGGACATTGGGCCCCCAAAGGGGTGGATTGTGAGATCCCACATCAGTTGGAGAGGGAAACGAAGCATTCCTTACTAGGGTGTGGAAGCCTCACCTTAGTAGACGCGTTCTAGAATCATGAGGCTGATGACGATACATAACGGGTCAAAACGGACAATATCTACTAACGGTGGTCTCAGGCTGTTACAGTTGAAGGAAGAAAACATAATTTTTACTACTCGACGATCTATAGAACTTTGAAATGTGAGGTTTTCTTCATAACATTACATTGATTGTTTGTTGTGGATGTTCTTTTTGCAGAGCCAGAAAAGATAATTACAGATATTGCTGCTGTCCATGCAGTGATCCTAAGCTCTCAGCTAAAAGAAATGTTGATAAACGTTAATTCTCCTGCGCTATTTCAAGGAACCTCCAGACCCATCAAACTTGTATATCATCCGAGGGAACCATTCTTTGTTATCAAGCAGGCAAGTTAGAGAATTTGTTTTGCTTCATTTAATCTGAAACTCTAAGTCCCAGTGGGAATAGTTTGAGTCACTTCAGTGTGCCAGTTCTTTATAAGGAGCAAGAAAGATGAATACTAGCTGGTTTATTTCAAATTTTGATTCATATGTACACTTTCATATATCTCTTAGTAGACAAATTTCTTGCATTCAGCCCCAAAAGATCCTCATAGTCTTTCCAATTCGTTTCAAGGAAAATACAGATGTGATCATTGCGACCGCGTTCTTTTGGGTACGTCGCTGTAATAACAATGCTAGGATCTGTTCTTAATTTCTTTTGGATAATACAACTCCTGTAGTCAAATAGGAACTTATGGATGTGGGA